AGAACAGTCCAGGTGGAGCTGGGAATGAGTGGGTAGGTAATATGAGAGTGAGGAGGGTTGGCAATTGAGGAAGGACTACAAAGAGATTTGAGAAGAATTACACAAACACACAGAGGAAAATCTGTTACCAGAAATCCAGAAGGAAATCATCAACACTAGTCACTGTGGCAATCAGTGGACTGCAAAAGCCAAAAGCAGATGCAGTTGCAATTACAGGAAATAGATGGTACAAACAGGACTGATACAGACTGGGATAGGAGAAGTAGGCATGTCAGAAACATTAGCAGGCAGCTATGTGGACATGTTTAAACAGTGGACTGGACAGTCTCAGGTAATGTTATAAAGCAGCAATGATCAAAATTCAGGAAGTTCAACGGATATTGAAGGAGCTGTTTTGAGTCAGCATGGTGAAGGAAAATGCCACGTAAAGGGAGCAAATGCCATCTATCTGAGTTTGCCCATAATGTGACATATTTCCAAACTTCCTCTTCTTTTTACTTTCTGAATAATTGTGATTTATTTAAGTTAATATTTTTATTTTATTTAGTTTCTCCTTTTTTAAGCAACAAAATGATATGTTTATTGTAATATGTATTAAAATATTCAGATGCATGAAAAGAAAAACATTATGTTCATCTTTAATCCAATCATCCAAGATTAACTGCTGTTAAAATTTTCCTTCCATATCTTTTGTGCTTGCATATCATGTGTATATATCTATTATTATATGCCTATATCTTAAAGCCAAAATTATTCCACTGTTCTGTTTCATACCAAACAGCTTCTGTATACAGAAGCTGTCAGCTTGACAGAGTAATGAAATCACCTTCTGAAGGTTCAATTGAGGTGCTACTTTGTAGGTGGTATCATGCAAAGATAGAGTGACATCTTCCAGGATGCAGCATACACTCTAAATCTATCGTCATCATATGGGCCTGTGTTCTCAATGAGTACAACACATAAGTCTGGGAACCAAAAGTAAGAAGTAGGAGTGGCCCTGGGCCCTGCTTACCATTACTCACAGTGACCCACTTGTGTTATTTGTGCTTCTTGTCCCTGCAACTCTGGGATTTGTGGGTTTGGAGGTCCTAGTAATTGACTGGGACATCCCTTGGTATCACTTTGCCCAATTTTGACAGTAAATGGAGACAAGGGCAGCAGCCATAGCCCAAGAAGGACATAGTAACCAGAAACCCAACAGGTAAGCCATATGGATGGCAGAGCTGAGGGTGAGGGAAACTAAAATGGGTTGTAGAACAGAAACACAATGAGTATCAGTTGCAACTTTCAGACCAGAGTTCAGTAACAAGGGTTCTAGTTTACCCCACTAACTTTCTGCTTTTAAGTTTACCCAGGAAAATAGTCTAACCAGGATACTGGAGGAACTGTTCCTAGAACTTATGCAAAATTAGTAGATCCAGTGCAAAGTAGATCCAGTGTAATGAATGCTATGGTTTGCCACTCAGATCCCCCGGTTGGATTGAGAAAATCATTCTGCCAACTACTAGGAATATTGGCAGCTGATGGCTCTCAGGCAATTTCTCTTCTGATGATTGTCTTCAACTAAAGAGAGTCACCTTGTACAAGTTCATAAGCAGCCCACATCTAATGACTAGTCCATGCCCAGGTATTAAGGCCCAGCCCTCTTTGCTTCAAAGGAGGACAACTCCAGAGCTCCCTGTAGGATTGGCCAAGAGCCCTTTGTTGTGACCCTATTGCAGTTTAACTTCTAGCCAATCCTACTTCCTTCACTCTTTCTCTGATATTGAATCCCTAGGCACTCTCCAATAAACTCTCCGCATGCAAATATCCAACTCAGAGTCTATCTTTAGGGCACTCAACATGCAACAGTTATATTCATTTTTTTTGTGTTTATACTTTAACAGAAAACACTAAGACTTCAAAAGAGCTCCAAGCATTTGACTGTATATAGATATTAAGAACCCCTGGGTCATCTATGTCTGGAAAGCTCATTCACCTCACCAGCAGCAGGGACACCTTGTTTTCTTGCAACCCTCCTTGCATGTGCGAAATATCAAAAGTAACCAGCCTTTCAGTTCTGCTTCTGTCTAGTGGTCATTTTCTATCCCCTTCAGCTCTCTAGTTGTGTTAGGCCCTGAACTTTTCCATCTCATCCTTCCAGAAAGCCACTAGTCCCACTAGCTGTCACTTATCTGCCTACCCATTGTCAACTAAGTTCCGGATGCTGAGAGTTGTGGGAATCTCTCCAGTGTTGCCAGGAGGAAGGGAACTAAAATTCCTCTGGCTAGCAGCCACCATCTTGTTTCTCTATTTCTTTCCTTTGCCCCATTCTCTCATGATTAGAAAGTTCCTTCCTTACTCCACTGCATCTTCAACTTCCTCTTCCCATTAGGATTTCAACATGTTTTCACAGCAAATCCCTGTATTTGTGACTTATACTTTCCAATTTCTGAATGACAAAGGTGTAAATGGAAACTAAGGTATTCTTCCCTCTCCTTCCTTCAGCAAATTTCTTGCTTACTAACTCTGAGTCATCTCTTAAGTAGAAGGTAGGCTATACCTATGCTTATTTAAGGTTATTAAATGTGATATTAAGGACACATCTATTCCCTTTCAAAACTTCCCCAGGGCCCAAGTTTGGCAGAAAATTGCTGGTCTGGCTGAGTCTTGCAGCATATCCCACTGGAACAACAACTCAGAGCTCATGCCCTTGGATGGAGAGTTTATTAACAGCATTCTCTTTGTATAGGAATGCCTCCAAATTTTGTAAAGGCCCACTATATTTAGTGTAGTAAAATGGAATGTTCCTAACCAGTAGATTTCTATCAACCAGCCAGTCTTCAAAGGCCGACGGGACAGGGAGGCTGGTAACCACAACCTCCCAGTGGCTCCTTTAAGACACCAGGCCCTCCTGTGCACTTCTAAATAAAAAAGCCACTTAAAATTGGACCTTCTCCGTCCTCACATTGTTGTTGACCTTAGTCCTAAAGGCTGGACACACTTCTCAACTTTTCCCCAACCTCCAGGTTTCTGATCTTGCAGTTCGTTCTCCTTTTTATAATCTTGCTTCTCCCTCAGGGAGTAGTTTGGGTCAACAGAGGGAACTACAGCTCCTCTTTAGTACATTATCTCAAAGCAGAGTCTTTACAAACAAGAAAATGTAGAGAGAAGGTAGACAAAGATTGTGACTTTCTTTCTTTCATGATCCTCCTGTATCAGCCTTTCTAACGTCTGGGAATACAGATGTGTGCCACCATGTGCAGCATTTTTTTTTTTTTTGTACACATGGAATCTCGCTACCTTGCTCAGGCCAGTCTCGAGCTCATGAAGCTGATATGGACTTTTAAAAAAGAATATACATGATAGCTTCTCAAAGCTGAAGGAAAAGTATTTTCAGATTTAAAAGGCCCATTGTGTTGAGATTCATTCCTCATAGAGAATGAAAAAGGACCCTATTCTAAGATGCATCATCATGAAACATCAAAAAAAGATTCCAAAACTTTCCAGAGAGGAGAAGAAAAAAGAAACAAAACTCTTCATGTCCCATAGAAAATATTATTAATGTAAAACATATCAACAGCAGCATGGAAAGTTAGAAGACAAAAAAGCAATGCCTTTAGAATTCTGATAGAAAATTTCCCAACCTAGAAGTCTATACTCAGACTTTCATTCAAGTGCAATGCTAAATTCAAAACATTTTCAGTCATTCCAGGTCTCAAAGAAATATACATTCCATGAACTTTTTCTCAGAAAGCTATTGCAGGATGAGCTCCACCAAACCCAATGAGTAAACCAGAGAAAGATATGAGATCTAAGAAAACAGGTGATCCAACAAAAGGGGGATATAGAAGGAATTCCCAAAATGATGAAAAGGGGGCATCTCAAACAGTTGGAGAGCTGCCCTGAATAGCAACATCACAGACCAGAGCTGGACAAGGAAGGGCTCCAGGATGACATCTAGAAGAGAAGTCAGTGAGAAAGCAAAACTGATAGAAGGAGAGATTTATAATTCTGTCAGACAACTTGGGAGAAATTAGTGATTAATTCATGAACATTGATGTTTTAAAAAGACAATTATTAACTAAAGGGAAAACAAAATGATTGTATCAGATATGAAGTGAACAGCAAGCAGTTCACCTGTGAACAATATTTTCTTAGGCCTAATAATGTAAACACTGAAATTGTGATGTCATGGGAGAATGGGGATAGGTGAAGGGTTTATGTTGGAGGGGGTAGTGGAAGAAAACTAAATCCTAACCACCAAAATAGGAAATCAAGAGATGATATTTAAAACTGAAAAGTCAAGAGAGAAAACGTGTAAGCACCAGAAAAAGTGGCTAAACATGTGACTACAGTTGGCTATGTGGAGCAAAACTCAGAGATGGGGAGGAATGAGCAAAGTGCTGTTTCGTTTTGTTGTTGTTAAAAGCCTTGGGGCCAGGCGCGGTGGCGCACACCTGTAATCCTAGCACTTTGGGAGGCCGAGGTGGGTGGGTCACCTGAGGTCAGGAGTTCAAGACCAGCCTGGCCATCATGGTGAAACCCCATCTTTATAAATAAATAAATAAATAAATAAATAAATAAATAAACAAATAAATAAATAAATAAAATAAAAAGATTTGGATTTGACTTTTTATACTATGTGCTTATATGTTTTCTCTTTTATTTTTATTCCTCTAGATATGATGCCTTAAGAATGTTTGTATGTTTCTGTTCTTAAAAAAACTAAAGCAAATTGAAAATTAGGGTAGAAAAAAATAAGATGAAGTCAGAAGTAATACACATCATCCAGTACACATAATTGCTAAAGATAGGCCGAAAATTTGGTTCTGAGCTTTTTAGAAGCCAGCATAAAGTGGGAAATGTAATTGTTTATATGATTTCACAATGTCCAAGAGATAAAAACAAACCACTTACTCAGGAGAAATATAGCTATTCCTGGTACTGCGATCTGAGAGACAGTTCTCCCATCTGTTCTCCTAAAGAGGACACATGTGACGTAGTGAACCACATCCTCCTTAACTTGCCAACGGTAAATGCAACAATGTTTCATAGAGCTGTTTCTTATCATGTCTCTCAACATAGGTGGATGGCAAAATGCCAATGCAGTGCCCAGTAAAAGCAACTCTATGAAGAAACAAAAATCTGTTTAGAGAGGCAATAAAGCATAGTGGTTAGAGTGTTGGCTTGGGTTCCAAACCTATCTATCAAACAAGTTACTTAACTACTTTGTACTCAGTCTTCTCATCTATAAAATTGGTCTAATATTACCATCTCATAGAATTTTGTGAGTTTATGCATATGAAGCACTTAGAACAATGTCTGGCATATATAAGCATGAAAAAAATCCATTTAAAATATCTGCTTTTTAAAAAAGTGGATCTTACATGTTAAGGCTACCAAAAAGAAAACAGTGTGGTATTGATGAAGAGATGGACACATAGATCAATGAAATACAATAGAGAAATATATCACACAAGTATAGCCAACCAATTTTCAACAACGGTGCAAAAAAAAAAAATTCAATGAAGGAAAGGTAGTCTTTCAACAAATAGTGCTAGAGCAACTGGATTGCCATAGGCAAAATAATGAACTTCTACCTAAACTTCACGCCCTATACAAAAGCTAACTCAAAATGGATAATAGATTTAAAAGTAAAATGTCAAACTATAAAATGTTTTCACAAAAATAAAGGAGAAAACCTTCAGGATTTAGGGCTATGTGAACTGTTCCTCAACATAATACCCAGAGAATGATCCTTAAGAGAAAAATAATAAATTGGACTTCATCAAACTTAAAACTTTTGCTCCATAAAAGATCATGTTAAGAGAATGAAGACTGACATAGGCTGAAGGTGTCAGCAAACCAAAAAGCATTGCAGAAAATATTGTAAACCAGACATCTGACAAAGGACCATAAGAACACTCAAAAATCAACATCAAGGAAACAAACAATCTAATTAGAAAATGGGTAAAAGACACGAAGAGACCTTTCTGCAAAAAGGATATACAAATGGCAAATAAGCAATATGTTCAATGTCATTAGCCATTAGGAAGGTGCAAATTAAAACCATGATGAGATGTCATTATATACCTATTAGGATGGCTAAAATAATGACAATACCAAATGCCTGTGAAAAAAACTAACTCTCTCACATATTGCTGGTGGTAGTGTAAAATGGAATAGCCACTCTGCAGTTTGGCAGTTTCTTTAAAATCTAAACATATACTTAACACATGATCTAGCAATCACATTCCTAGGCATTTACTCAGAGAAATGAAAATTTGTGTTCACACAAAAATCTGTACAAGAATACCCATTGTAACTTTATTTGTAAAAACCTAAGTTGGAAACAACCCATATATCCTTCAATGGGTGAATTGCTAAAAAAAAAATGGTGGTGCATCTCTATCATGGAATATTACTCAGCAATAAAAAGAAACAGTCTATTGGTACATGCAACAATTTGCACAAGTCTCAAGAAAATTATGCTGAGTGGGAAAAAAAAAGCCAAACCCAAAAGGTTGGATATTGTAAGATTTCATTTATCTAACATTCCTAAAACGATAAAATTACAGAGATGAAGAACAGGTTACTGGCACTAGGGATGGGGGGCGGGGAAGTAGAGGTGTGACCATAGAGAGGTAGCATGTGGGATATTTGTGGTAATAAAACAGTTCTGTATCTTGTCTTTTACTGTTGTTACATGAATTTACTACATGTGACAAAATTGCATAGAACTACACACACACACACACACAAAGTATAGGTAAAACTGGTGAGATCTGAATAAATTCAATGGATTGTACCAAGATAAATTTCATGAATTTGATATTGTACTATAGTTGTGTAAGATTTTGCCATTGGGGGCAACTGGATAAGGGGTACAGGATACACAGGACCACCCTGTACTATGAATTTCCTATGAATCTATAATAATTTTAAAATTAAAAGTTTCAAGGAGGGATCCAAGATGGCCAATTAGGAGCAGCTCAGGATTGCATCTCCCAGCAAAAGCACAGAGGGTGAGTGGATGCCGCATTTTCAAATGGATATTTATTGCCCACAGACCAGGAGATTCCCAGGTGGAGGAGCCCCATGGGTGGCCAGCGTGGCTGTTTCAGCCAGTGTGGCTGATTGGCTGGCATGGCTCTTTTTGCTGGCATGGCTGTTTTGCTGGCACCCCAGCAGCGGTTCTCTCTACAAAATACACAGGTCTGAGTGCCATTTCAGCTGGCGATTGGAGCTCCTGGGAGAGACAGAGTCACCCATTCATCTGATTTAAAAAGGGACTGAAACAGGGAGCCAGGCCAGGAGATTCCCAGGAAAAAAAGTACCATGAATCTCAGCGTGGCTGTTTCAGCTGGCACATGGGTCGCCACACAGGAAATCATGCAGATCCCAGCGCCTTTTCAGCAGGCAACTGGAACACCTGAGAGACAGAGTCAACTGTTCAATTAAAAAAAGGGGGGGCTCCAAGGAGGGAGCCAGGTGATTAGGCTTGGCTGGTCCCACCCCCACAAAAAAACAGCAATTAGAAATGATCTGGATTGAGAGTTTCACAGCAAGCACAGCTGAACCCGGGACGGTCCAGCTCTGTGGGGCAGGGGCATCTGCCATTACCAAGGCAGTCCACCACTACGGAGGTAGTTTGCCATTGCTGAGGCAGCCCGCCATTACAGAGAGAGCCCGCAATTATAGAATTGCCAAGGCAGTTCTAACTACACTGTATAAGCAGGACTGCAGAAAAGTTCACAAGGCAACTGGACAGAGCCCACAGCAGCTCAGCAAAGCCTCTGCAGGCAGACAGTGACTAGACTGCCTCTTCACTGGGCAGGGCAGCCCTGAAAAAAGGAAGCAGCACAACAGAAACTCATAAATAAAGCCCTAACTCCCTGGGACAGAGCACCTGGGAAAAAAAAGGGGGGGGGTTATTAGTTCTGCTGCAGCAGACTTAAACATACCTCCCCAGCAGCTCTGAATGAACAATGGAGCTCACAGTTCAGCACTTGAGCTCCTATAAAGGACAGACTGTCTCCTCAAGCAGCTCCCTGACCCTTGTATATCCAAAGAGTCACCTCATAAAGGAGAGCTCAGACTGACATCTGGCAGGTATCCTTCTGGGGCAAAGAGAGCAGAAGAAGAAACTGGCAGCAACCCTTACTGTTCTGCAGCTGCTGCAGGTAATCCCCAGGCAAGCAGAGCCTGGAGTGGACCTCAGCAGTCCTACAGCAGAGGGGCTAGACTGTTAGAAGGAAAACTAAGAAACAGAAGGAAATAACTTCATCATCAACAAACTGGATGTCCACTCAGAGACCCAATCTGAAAGTCAACAACTACAAAGACGACAGATGGATAAACCCACAAAGATGGGAAGAAACCAGCACAAAAAGGATGAAAACACCTAAAACCAGAACACTTCTCCTCCTACAAGGAATTGCAACTCCTCACCAGCAAGGGAATAGGCTGGATGGAGAATGAGTGTGATGAATTGACAGAATCAGGCTTCAGAAGGTGGGTAATAAGAAACTTCTGTGAGCTAAAAGAACATGCTCTGACCCAATGCAAAGAAACTAAGAACCTTGAAAAAAGACTTGATGAAATGCTAACGAGAATAAACAACTTAGAGAGGAATATAAGTGAATTAATGGAGCTGAAAAAAACAACACAAGAACTTCGCAAAGCATACACAAGTTTCAACAGCCGAATTGACCAAGCAGAAGAAAGGATATCAGAGGTCGAAGATCAACTCAATGAAATAAAACAAGAAGCAGGATTAGAGAAAAAAGGGTAAAAAGCAATGAACAAAGTCTCCAAGAAATATGGGACTATGTGAAAAGACCTAATCTACGTTTCATAGGTGTATCTGAACATGATGGAGAGAATGAATCCAAGCTGGGAAATACTCTTCAGGATATTATCCAGGATAACTTCCCCAACCTAGCAAGGCAGGCCAATATTCAAGTCCAGGAAATACAGAGAACACCACAAAGATATTCCTCAAGAAGAGCAACCTCAAGGCAGATAACCATCAGATTCACCAGTGTTGAAATGAAGGAGAAAATACTAAGGGCAGCCAGAGAGAAAGGTCGAGTTGCCAACAAAGGGAAGCCCATCAGACTCACAGCAGATCTCTCAGCAGAAACCCTACAAGCCAGAAGAGAGTGGGGGCCAATATTCAACATCCTTAAAGAAAAGAACTTTCAATCCAGACTTTCATATCCATCCAAACTAAGCTTCATAAGTGAAAGAAAAATAAAATCGTTTATGAGCAAGCAAGTACCCAGAGATTTCATCACCACCAGGTCCCTTTACAAGAGCTCCTGAAAGAGGCACTAAACATAGAAAGGAACAACCAGTACCAGCCACTCCAAAAACATACCAAATGGTAAAGAGCATCAACAAAATGAAGAAACTGCATCAACTAAGGGGCAAAACAGCCAGCTAGCATCAAAATGGCAGGATCAAATTCACACAGAACAATATTAACCCTAAATGTAAATGGGCTAAATGCCCCAATCAAAAGACACAGACTGGCAAATTGGATAAAAAGCCAAAACCCATTGGTGTGCTGTATCCAGGAAACCCATCTCACATACAAGGATACACAAAGGCTCAAAATAAAGGGATGGAGGAAGGTTTACCAAGGAAATGGAGACAAAAAAAAGCAGGAGTTGCAATTATCATCTCCGATAAAATAGACTTTAAACCAACAAAGATCAAAAGAGACAAAGAAGGACATTACATAATGGTAAAAGGATCAATGCAACAAGGAGAGCTAATGATCCTAAATATATACATACACAATACAAGAGCAACTAGATATGCAAGGCAAGTTCTTAATGACTTACGAAGAGACTTAGACTCTCACACAATAATAGTGGGAGACTTTAACACTCCATTGTCAATATTAGACAGAACAAAGAGACAGAAAATTAACAAGAATATCCAGAACTTGAACTCAGACCTGGACCAAGCAAACCTGATAGACATTTACAGAACTCTCCACCCCAAATCCAAAGAATATACATGCTTCTCAGCACCACATCACACCTATTCTAAAATTGACCACATAATTGGAAGTAAATCACTCCTCAGCAAATGCAAAAGAATGGAAATGTAACAGT